TCAATTCATTTCCGATATTCCATGTATTTAAATTAAAAATAGTTTTTACAACATAAATTCATCCCACTTATAGCATGTCGTTCATAGAAGGCTTAATGACGAGTCAAGTGAAGTTACAAGCCCACAAAAAAGTCAACTTAACGATTTTCCATCGAAACAGCAAGGACATAATGCGACCTGTAAATAATTTATGTTGTGAAGTCTACAACATAGCGATGACGATCTTTTATCGTTCAAGTCGAAACGGAAAATACATAAAAAAAATGAAAACATTTCAAGTGTGCGTTCACAGGGAATCATTTTTCTTTTGACTCTTCTCTTTTACTGTCACCGTTACCCCGGCAATTTATTTCGCATTATAGGACCTCGCCCGCGGGAACCATAATAAAGGTTTGGATTTGATGTCAGGGGGTCAGCAGAAAATGAGAAAATATGCGCGTGACAAGGCCTGTAACAGTAATAATTTTAAAGGCCGACACGTTCTATTTGTAGATTGATGCAACTCGAAGAACCTACATTTTAAATATATTTCGTACGCGTGTATTTTCGACGAAGCTATTGAACCCAAACCGAACGCGGTCGCAAAATCATCGACCGACTCTAACCAAACCAACCAAACGGTGACGGTTTGTCAAAATAAACGTTCAGCACAAACAATCGTCACCATTCAACGATAGCAGACCATTAAAATCCTATCTCTCTTCTTGCACATTCACTCTCTCGTTTCTCTCGTTTTGTTATTACATAGCGAATGAAGGATTTTGTTTTTTCACGTATAGTGTGCGTGTGTGTCTCCGTTTTTTATTATTTTTCATTTAAACCGGCCGAAATAGGAAACGTCAGATAAATATAATGATTAAATACCGTAACACTCGATAATTACGTAGGAAGGAATTGTTCTGTAATTAATAAGTAGCAAAGTGTAAAGTGGGAGGTGCTCGTGTTTATTTCATTTGAAATAAATACAGAGAAAAAAAATCGGATATAAAAAGAACATAAAAAGAAAAGGTAAAACTAAAGACTACGTAATTTAGATCGTAATAATTTACGCAGAAAAATAAGAATCGCGCGACATAGTAATTACAGCCGCGTCTAAGTTTACATCATTACCAAAGGGCACAGGGGGTCGTTAAGCTTGAAAAGGGCAGCTGTGTTTTTAAAATTATCGCTGGAGCCTTAGGGTGAACGCAAAGGAATAAAAGAAAGAGGGGAAAATTGGAATCGCATGAAAATATTCCATATTTTAGACTCGAATGGATTTATATAACCCAACCCACCGCCATATATTCCTTCTTGTTTTATTTTAAGAACCAATTCGACCCGACGTACATTCTTGTTTATTTAGAAATATTCAAGAAATAGGTTACGAAAAGAGAATCAAATTTAATTACCTGCTATAAACGTTGGGAAAATTATTGACGATTTTATTACTCATAATTTATTTTTTAACGAAAATTATAAAAATAAAACATATATCCTCGTATTTTAACGAATCGCTTAGATTATTAGTGATTTGCAGACTGTGGACATAAATTTGAACATAACAGCTTAACATAACAATTTTCAAAAAAAAAATAAATAAGTTTCATAAAACCAAGGTGGACTTCTCATTTTGTGAATTTTTCAGATTGCAGATCTCGTTTATCAAACATTTTGAACTCAAACATACTCTGTTTCACTTAGGGCATTTGAAATAGACTTCCACGACGAAGCTTTATTGTTAATCTCATTTCAACAGTTACGTTTATTATTTTTTTTCAAAGTGTGAGAAATCTATCATGTTTTTTCCATAACTTATAAAGATAAAAACAGTATAACACAGTTTTTAACACAAACCTACTTCTCATATAGATAGCAAAGGTAATTTAATTATCGGTGCTTGCTGTAGTTTGCATTAAGCGAGAATAGAGATTATGTTCAAACGTTAGCGAAATCAGTGGCAAATTTTAGTGCCGACATATACACAGAGGAGACCATCTCACAAAGCAGGTTTCAGTATTAATATCCACTTTTGTGATTGCGATTGGCTTGAATTAATTATATTTACCGGTGGCGCGGATGTACAACCCCGGCCTGGAGGCTTCGATGGCCAGATGTGTCGAACGCAGAACGACAAGGTGCAAAGGGGTAATTACCTTTGAAGGTGGCCCGCTCTCGTACTGCCATCAAAAGATTTAATTACCGAACGTTTATACGCATACACGATTTAATCGTCGGTACCTTTTGCGATATTTCATACCCCCAGCCACCCAGTTCGATTTGATATCGAACATTTTATATTCCCATATGAATCCTTTATAAAGAAAAGATAAAATTAGCGGTTTTCTACGAGACAAATAATATAGAGCGGCAAACGAGTGTAAAACACAATATAAACTGAAAGAGCGATGTGTATAACCGCGACCGTTTCTGGAAAATTTTAAACGGTCCGAATCCGGCGAAGCTTATAAAAAGTAATTGCCACCCTTCTACGCGCAAAACGGCAGCGAAGGGCGGCGGCAAAAAGGCGAAATAGGTACGAGGACATCGTTAAAATGTTATCGTGGACAGTGTAATTCTCTGGTAAACGCCGGCGTAAAACAGGATTAAGGATTCTAACGAATAGCTCTCTTCGTACGTTTTCTTTTGTATTTCCTCCTCATAGGACATTTTAATTTGTGAAACATTCCGAAACGAACTCAAATAATCACTTCGATTGTAAGGTGAAACTATTTCACCTGAATATCTAAAAACACGAAATGTTTCAATTTTCATTTGAACGACAATAAATTAATAATTAAAATTAATCGTTTTATTGATTTATGATGACAAGAAATAATAGAGAATACCTCCTACAAGGATTCATTTTTTTTAACAAGAGAAAATGCCTTATTATACTTAAACAAGACAGAACATTCTACTCTGAATAATGAATTCTCGTTGCATTCGTGATAATAAAGCAATAATTTAAGGTCAAAATACAACGATAAATAATAACATCCAATATTAATGTGGTGAGATAACAAGCAATTATTAGAGTTAATTTATCCACAAAGATGTTTCATCTAAGAGACGAAAATACGTGTAAAAACAAAGAGCACCACCTGTTCATTGTCTCGGTTGAAACACCTGAATTATAGCTGTGCGTGGGTCGTGATAATTCAGCTGGGGATTGTGACGGAAAGCTTTCGAAATACGCGCCGATTCCCTCATAACTTTAACGACGCCGCTCTAACATCTGCTTCCGTTTGTGTAAGCGTTCAATTTATTTACGAGCATTTAGACGGGTTTTTCGAAACAGTTAACCCACTTGTCGTGATCGGATAAACGCAATTTCGGACCAGGAAATGTCGGCCCCCCTCGGGGTTGCTATTACATAATAAAAAAAGGCTTTCCTACGAAATATCCTTGCATTGCACAGCCACCGCACCACCGGAGTGGCTTTCGAGAGAAAAAAAACACGGTAAATCACAAACCTCCGGGCGAACCGTAAAAAGGAAATGCGTTTCTTGCTTTCCGTCGCAGCATCTCGGTTTTTGTCCTTTTATTTCGCTTGCGTCCCCACAAAAGAAAACATGTGTTTCATGTGTTCGACATGAAAGCTAATTTCGAAGGGAGGGCGTCTCATTTTTTTTTAAATTTATTTCAAAGCTTGAAAAAAACAGGTAGAGAACTTATTAAGTCGATAAGTAGAGCTTTCTTCTGGGAGGAAGCTACCTCGACGATTTTTTTAATTGGAAACGATTGCCATGGTAAAAGGTTCCTGGTCGAAAGTAATTGGGGGTAATTAGCGTGTCGACACGGGACCGCGGGATGGGCACCATCGTTCGAGGCCTTCAGGCAACGCTTGCATTTAAAATGAAAATTAAAAACCGCCATTACCGCGTAACGTGCCCCCGCCGATGACCGCTTGCCTATTAGTTAATGGAACGAGCAAAGCAAATGATTGCCAATAGTTATTATGAACGTCAATTCTCAATTATCATAAATGTAGGGGGTAAAGTGTAGTTAACTAATAAATATAGAAGGAGTAATCTGTTTTAAAGAGACGTACGGCTAAACCCGAATGTTTCTAGTTCCAGGTCTAGTCTTAGTTGTAGTGCTAGTGTTACCTCTAGTATTAGTTGTTATGCACTGCTAGATTGTTAGTACGAAATAACAGTATTTTTGGCTATTGCTTCCATGTATTAATAACCCTTATATCCAGATTTTTAGTGTATTATAGTATTTTTTTGTTATCTTATAAAATAACTTTTAAAAGATTGAAAATTTAAATAGAAATCAAGAACTTTAGAAAGGGTTTTAAATTTGAACTCGTTCGAGTTATATCACAAAGTGGCTCAAGTAACTTATCAGTTACTCAATATGTTAATTTAGTTGAGACCATATCACGGTACACAAAAGGGTTCCAAGGTAACAAAACACGAGGTGGCCGCTTCCGTTGGTCGGACTTTCGAGTATTTCCGAACGTTGACGGTAATATTGGCAAGTGGCACCCAGCTCGACTAACCGAAGTGGTCGTTGCCGTAATCGGACCTGTTCAACGTCCTCCAGAAGGTTTAGGGCTACATCGGCGGGGCTGCAATAACGTCTCCCCCTTTGATATCGGAGCGACTAAAACTATTAAATTGATTTTGGGAATTGCGCTGAAGGATTTGGAACGCGATCACACGAATCTCACTTGCTTTAACAAGTTTTTTTTAATTACGGATTTAGTTTAACATTAATATATCGGTTTAAACAACGGTTCTTGTTAGAATAAGATTCAATCCGCAGATGTATTTGCTAGGTACGTTTCAACATACGATGGCAAACAATGTTAGGCATTGAGAAATCTAATTTCGCCCACCAGGATTCGTTTCCAGGACTCGAGTATCTACGCTACCCGTCCCAATAACGTGATCTGGCAAATCGAATAAATATATACTCCACGTATAAAGAAGGATTTCAAGACACTGTTGCCATACAGATTTTTATATAACTTTTTTTAATCTAAATTATTTTTTCTCTTGTTTTTTTAGCACCACAATGTCCTTCGGGTAATTTTATATGCAACGATGGTACGTGTCTCGACCAACTGTTCAGATGTGATAACTACATTGATTGTAACGACGGAGAAGATGAAAAAGGATGTTCAAGTAAGTCATAGAAATTGTAGATAAAAAAAAAGCGTAGGCTTGTAGTTTTGAGTAAGTAGAAAAAACGTAGAAACTCTTCAGCTTCAGTAGATTTGATTAAAGAGAACGCTTTGCACTTTTCGCTTATCCGTATGCTGAAGCGCTTTCAGCATGTTGCACCTAAACTAACCAGAGTCATTATTCTTCCACCAAAATGTAGAAAAAATAACAGCATGTCTTTGCCACTCGTTTAGATTACGATAGGCGGCGGAAATTTGAGTGCGGGGATGGCAAACGCATACCGATTGAGTGGAGGTGCAATCAGAAAAACGATTGCTCAGACTTTTCAGATGAAAAAAATTGTCGTAAGTTTTCATTACTCTCCAAATAGTTCCTGTTTTTTAATTTATTTTATTCCAAAATATTTCAAAACTATTTCAAAACAATCTGCATTCCTCTATTTATCTTTGGTCCTTTTAAATAAAAGAAAGTTTCAATCATTGATAATATTTTTGCAGCATGTAAAGAAGACGAGTTTATTTGCAATAGCGGGTTCTGTATCCCAAAACGATTAAGATGCGATGGCACATATCATTGTTCAGACCTATCAGACGAATTAGGATGTGATAGTATGGCTTTTTTTGCTTCTTAAAAGTTCTTTAATAAGTAACAAAAAAAATGGTGAAATATATAAAACGAGGTGATTGGTGGTTTTTTATAATAATCGGTGGATGGTAGCTATAAATGCAAAATACAGAGTTATTATAAATGATGTATTCAGTTTAAATGTTATGTTAAGTTAAAATGAACATACATTATCAAAATATTATCATACACAAAATTATCATATATTTTAATCAAAAAATGATTCATTAAAAATTGGAAGATATTTTCCAAGAAACCTCATTCGAAGATGTTGGATGTTTTGTACAATTGTTCATTTTTGAAACTTAAACCACAAAAAGTTTCGTTTCTACAATCCAAGCGGTTTTGCTGAAAACGATTTTTTTCTTTAACTTAGTTTCCAGGAAGAAATAAATCATTAATTTTTAACAATTTTTATTAAAGAAACTGTTTAAGAAAAGCTTTTTTCGAAAAAGTAGGAAGACTTTTACTGTTGATGAAAGCATTTGTGACAAATATACACCATCAATTCATCATTTCTAATAGGAATTTTTATGGTTCGAATTAGATAATAAGATTTTCTACTTTTCATTTATTTAAGTTGTTTTAAACCTTAAATACGTCGTATTACCACTACACATGATATTTATAGATTTGTTCGTGGAAGAGTTTCTAATTGATTGGAAACTCGTTTTATAGTCAATCAATCGATAGTGTCGAAAACATTTGTCTCAAATCTATTCATCAACATTAGTAGGTAAACAACTCCTCTAGAGTTTTCTGATCAAAACACTTTTTTCGAAGGTGATCAAATTTGTATGAACCTAATAACGTAAAAAAGTTAATAGACATAACATTTAAACCGTATATTTCATTTATACATACCTTGTATTACTTAACTTTATTATTCTTTAAGCAAAATTTATTAGAAATAATTGGTGGAGGAGCCGGTTTATTAAACTAATCCGTATTTTAATATTACTCTTTAATATCAATATCACCAACCAATCAATCTCTTATTTTAATGAAATAAAAAAATTCAGCTCCACCTACCACCTTAGCTCCTTCGACATCTCAACCTTCTACATGTGAACACTACCAATGGAGATGTGCGGATGGCACATGCATCGACCAAATGCACAGATGCGATAGGAAACATAATTGCCCGGATAAATCCGACGAAAAAAATTGCACATGCAAAAATGACGAATTTCGTTGTAACTTTGGAACCTGCATAAGTATAAGTCAGAGATGCGATGGAGTCGGAGATTGTCCATTTTCTGAAGACGAGGATTCTTGTGGTTAGTGAAAATAATAAGCTTACGATATCTATCAAAAAAATATATAGCATATCTTCACATCTTGATATCTTGATATCTTTCACTTTTGGTTTAGTGTTTCTTTTTCATATTTTATTTTTCCTCTCAACTTTAGCTTTTGTAAAAATTTTATAAGCTTTCGATCGAAACTTAATATGCTGATTTAGGTTGGAAAGTAATACCAAACTCGACGTTTCCCATGGATTTACTATGGGAATGCGCGAACGGTGCAAAAACACTAAAAATCCACAGATGTGACGGTTACAAGGATTGCGACGATAACAGCGACGAAGAAAGTTGCGAAGAACCGGCATACAAGCCAAAAGAATACGATAACGGAGGTAACCTAATGTTTAGAAATGAGGGGGAATCCGTACGAGCTTCTTGTTGTAAAAACATCTGTGTATACGTGTGTTTAATCGAATCGAAAATGTATAGGAAAAAAAGCTTTTTGTTTTCTAGGATTCTTTAACCAACAACGATTTTAACTTTATCAGAAAAGTTGAAATAAAAAGTAAAGTGAATTTCAGAAATGAAATGGTAATTTATGCATATAGTATAAACCTGGTGGTATTTTTATTCGATAAATGAAAATGTTGAATCTTTATTAAAAAATCTAGTCTTTGTTAAGTGCAATGACGGATTTTTTTACTTTAACTGAAATTCATTTTCAACTTGTTATCTTATAATGTAAATAATCCTTTTTGAAAAAGTGATTAATGCTCAAAATTGAATCCGAATGAAAATGTGCTAACCAAAAATTTAATGTGATTTATTTATCCGGGATTTTTTAAATTAATGAAATACAACATGGAAATTTGAGTTAGAACGAGTAAGTTTAACAGGAATATGGCGAAAACGTACTGAAAACATAAAGAGAGGACTCGTGCAATTTTCACGCCTCTAAATTCGAGCCCACGGAGGCGTACAATTTGTTTTGCGGCGTAGAGCAGGAATTGAAACGAACAATATTTACATGTCTCAGACCCTGGGACAAGGGACCTCATTACATAAATATGGACCGGGTCGGCTTGTTGTTTGTCCAGAACCGTGTGGACTTAGCGGATTTCTACCGGGAGGGGGATTAAATTCGGGATTCAGAAATTAATTAACTCACCGAGCGTTCGGTTTTAATGTACCGCATCCATATATTTTAGACATTCCTCTACATCCTTAAACTAACAACAACTAATACTCCTGGTTGTGGATCATGATAACTTTCCTTAATAACAGAATAAGCTGTTGATGTATTTGTGTCTATTAATTATTAATTCATTTATTTCTAAGGCAATAATTGATATAATATTAATTGCTTTATAAAAGAATATTTCTAAAGATATTTTTAAATGATTAAATGATTCGTTTATTATTAATAGTTGAATGTAAAGAATCTGAAATAAGATGCAACGATAGAACGTGCGTTTTTGGCAAAAGATGCGATAGTTACGTAGATTGTCCTGATGGCGAAGATGAAGAGAATTGTACAGGAGTCTGTGCAATGGATCAATTTAAATGCACCAATAGCGGAGAGTGTATTGATGAAGATAAACGTTGCGATTTGTACCCCGATTGTTCCGATAAATCCGATGAAGAAAATTGCGGTATGTTTATAGCACCAACTTAAATAAATTTTCTTAAAGAAAGTAACAAAATCCAAGATGTTGTAGTAGTGCTAACATTTTCTTCTTCCTAACTTCTGTCCAAAAACAGAAAACAACAGATTCTTCCTCTATGTTGTTGCTTTTTTTGTTTAACATTTAGTTCAATGTCCCTACGACCACTTCAGATGTGGAAATGGAGTTTGCATCATATACAAACGCTATTGTGACGGAATACCAGATTGTCCTGATCATTCCGATGAAAAGAACTGCAGTGTTAAAGGTTCATATAAAATATACGTTCCTTATTTTAGATCTTATAAAGGTTATAGATCGTCTTTTTAACTTATTCTTCTAGTAGTTCTATTCTTTCTTTAGTATATTTGATTATGATCTGGTTATTGGGTTAATTTATTACTTGTAGAATTAATATTTTGCATGTTCACCTAAAAAAATTATAGTAACACAATGGAAAAAAATCAATGGAATTGAAGAATGGAAAAGGATTTTAGAAATCATAACACATATTAAAAGGAATAACAGCAGAAATTAACAATCCCTATTAGTTACTAATGAAAGAATAACATTTCCCTTGTGTAAATAAAACAAAATAAAAAAATTGGGTATTATGGAAAAGTATATTTGATGGCATCATATCTTCGTTATTTTTAAAGTAATAAGAAAACTAAGCACGGTTGTAAATCTGTGTTCTGTTTACGTACTCGCATATACGAAGTACATAAAGATTGTGCATATAAAGGGACTATTTTTAGCATTACTTCTGTGTATACACATGTAAGCATGTGTGTAAATACTGTGACAGTTACATCAATTTTAGGCTAAACCCATCAACTGGAAAACGCACTTAACCTGAACAAACATCTTTTTCACGCTAAATATTGATACACGATCAAAATATGTTATTTGTGTTTTTATAATTATAAAAAACGACATTTAGTGGTGGTTATGATTATATTTAGATATAAAATTTGAAATTGTGTAACCAAAACTGGTACTTTATCCTGAAGATTCGGTCGTATTTTGACATTACTTCGCTTTTTTATAATTTAATAATCATGTATCGATGGACGTTCTACAAATGTTGTTAGTCCCATCAGTGTCATATAAAAATACGAGTAATGTAACTGTAGGTCACTCCAGTTAATTAGTTTTTTAGTTATAATAAAAATTATTAACCAACAATTTAAAGATTATAGTTATTAATTAAAGATATGAAATAATTAGAAAGTAAATGATAGAAGTTAATTTTTGAATTCTTGAATTGTTTTGGGATTTTAAATCCGCTAGGTTGGTAATAAAAAAGTGCTAAGAATATCATATAAAAAAATAGGTATCAAAGAGTCAATTCGGTTTCATAAACGCAATTGGTACTAGAGAAACACAAAGACCTCAGAACAATACGTGCATGAGATTTTTGACAAAATTGTTCTTTTATGTATTTGATGCCATCGAATATGATCTTTTCGTAAAAAAAATATTTTTGTACATATTACCTGGATTATTACTTGCCCTATTACTAGTTCAATATAGTAATTCAAATCGATTTCAATACTTTCTTCAATCACACAGTTTGCAAAGATGATGAGTTCAGATGCAAAGACGGTCACTGTATTCCGTATCATCTTGTATGCGATGGAATTAATCAATGTAGCGATCATTCTGATGAAGATGGTTGCGAAAAACCGTTTGAATGTCCATACGGGGAATTAAAATGTAAAGAGAGCAATACTTGTTTCCGAAATGAACAACGTTGCGATGGATATAATAATTGTGACGATGGAACTGATGAAGAAGGATGTCCACCTAAAGGTATGTAGAAAGGTTTGGCTAATTAGATATCATCACCAGCTTTTAAGGGCACATTATTTAGTAATTTGGAAAAAATGGTTTAAATTAAAATTTTTTAATTATACTTATTTGTTTCTTTATTAATTTCTTAGGTACTCATTGCCGTCCCGAACAATTCCGATGCGATGACGGAACTTGTATTCACAAACAGTTGCGATGTGATAGTTCGTGGGATTGCCCGGATCACAGTGATGAAAAATATTGCGGTAAGTTTTTACGAAAACCGTCGCCCCTATTTTCCAGCTGCTTTGCAGCCGCAATGTCGTTATACCGGCCTCAGTTTTTAAGTAAGTTGTTGTGGCCTCTCGGTCAGAGACCTGCGCAGAATCGGACTTCCGGTGCTCGGATGGCAGCTGCGTCACTTTGGATCTTCGTTGCGACAACTACTACGACTGCAGAGATTTTTCTGATGAACAGAACTGTTTCGGTTAGAAAATATGTAAATTTGTTTGAAACGTTCAGTTTTGATTTTGTATTTCGTTCAATAACAATGTTTTTTTTTCTTTTTTCTGTGTTACGTATATTTATTCGAACGTATTTTTTTGATAGTTGACGTCGTAGAATAAAAGAACTCAGTAGAGTAAGATTAGATAAAAATATAGAAATTTGTATATAAATATTGTTAATAGAAACTAAGTAGAAGTTAATACACAATCTCCATATGCATGGTTGTTTTTATTCAAAAACAAGATGCAAAAAAGGAATATGTACATACATTAAATTATAGTGTTAGTATAAACCATTCTTTCGTTTAACATGTTTAAAACAACCTGTTTAGTGTAATGTATATGTGTTGTAATTTAACATGATATCATTTCAACTTAAACCAAAATATACTTATTTCTTTAGAGCCTTCATGTCGTCCCGATGAGTTTGCTTGCGATGATGGACAATGTATTCCACATTACATGAGATGTGACAACAGACAGGATTGCAGTGATAACTCTGATGAGAAGAGCTGCCCACAAGTTACTACACCTCCACCTCGAATTCACTGTCCATATGGGGAGCTTTTCTGCAGAGACAGGCAAGGTTGTTACAGACAAGACCAACAATGCGATGGCCATTATGACTGTGTTGATGAAACAGATGAAATTTCTTGTGGGAGTAAGAAATTAAAATTTATTTATTTAAAAGAAATTTTATGGATTTTCTTTTTTTGTTTAGATCCAGGAGTTCATTTGAAAACCTATCCAAGTTCTCAAGACATCAAAGAAAGTAAGTATAAAATACATAAATGTTTATAATAAGAAAAAAGATAGTACATAATTGTTGTATTTGTCGGTATGATGTAGTTTTATATGGGCTATACGTATCCCGATTACTCAATGTAATTTAAACTTACTAATTCGTTGTTTATTATTTTGCCATGTTCGGCGCAGGTACTTTTAAGCTGGGTGAGTATATTTTGTGCAGAATTAGACAAAAAAATCAGGGTGTGCTTTTTCATGTCATTTTTCTCTTATCTTCATTCCATCACGCATTCAGCATCATCAAAAATCTCATTCAACTTTTGTAAATGTCCATTTTTTTCTGTCGAAACTATTTACATTATAGGATATTCCATTAAGTAAATAATAACTCTTATTATTAAGATTTAAGGAAACAATCAATATTAATTCCGTGCTGTATGTTACAATTGCATTGACACTAACAGCGGTTGAAGCTTTTGGCGGGATGATATTCATATGAGCTGGTACAATACGTGGCGTAGAGTGATAGCTGCGAGTACAATCAATATGGAAACACGACCAGTATAGTGAACTAAATTCACATATCTCGTCGTGAATTTTGATGTTAATTAAAGCGATAGATCCAATTGGGCGACTTAAAATTAGAATTTTTATTATGGAATATCCTGTAAGATTAAGATGCAATCGCTCATTCTTTTCTGCACATTTAAAAGGATCGTTTATATGTAGTTTGGTTTTCTTTTTTACTTAAACTATGTTTAGTTGGGTTTTATTGTTAAATTATTGCTTGAGGAGTGTTGATTTTTATCATTTTATTTCATCTAATGGGCACAGCAAATGTATCATACATACAAAAATAAAAATATATATATTTATAAAAAAAACTTACCAAAAAGTAACACGATCGAAAATGCTTGATTGAAGTCTTACTTCTTTGATTGCAATTTCTTTTATCTAGATTTATCATAGATTTTTTTGAATAAATGATATCTTTGCAACATTTCAATAAACAGTTATTGGTAACCATTTAGAACCATCGTAATCAGTTTGAAATCCAGAACTCTCAAGAATGTACAGGGAGCCATTAAAAGCTATGAGAAGCAATTCAGAAAATGCTAAGAGCCGTTAGACGTCATTTTGGCAACATTCAGTGGTATTAGGAATTAATCAGAGCATTTATCAATTATTGGAAATCATTTTGGATCAGTCAAAGTAACTGCGTCTTATTGAGCAATTTACCTATTCAATATTATTCAGAGCAAATCTTGGAGATGTTGTTCAAAAACTTAATAAGCAAATCACAGATTTCTCCGTTTCCGAATGGTTGCAAAGATATCCATTATCAAAACCATTTTAATATGAAATATGCAGTTGAGCAGATGCTCAAGAAATATATAAAAGCATTGTTCCTTTTTCAGCTAATCATTTTCGATCTACTTGCATTAATTATCAAAATCAGCAATCGATATTAACAAATTGTCACTTAAGTAGACAAAAGTAAACAAAACATTTTGTCAATATTTACAACATTTGTAGTGACATCTTATAACATATGAAATGTTTAGTATCGATTGCAGAAAAAAAAAAATACTAAGCTTTTGGGGAAACACTTACATTTAATCTTCAAATTTACCATCAACCAGTATAACTAAAAAAAATATTAATCATAGGTAGAGAAGTCGTCTTTCAATGCAGAGATGAAGGACCTTTAAGAGCAAGAGTACACTGGATAAGAGGAAACGGGCTGCCTCTTCCACCTCATTCAAGAGATATAAAAGGAAGATTGGAGATACCAAATATTCAACTAAGTCATAGCGGACCGTATATTTGTGAGCCTGCTCAAGAAGCTTTAAGAACGCCTGGTGCGAGAGCCGAAGTACAACTTAAAGTTGAACCTCGTAAGTATCTTTAAATCTCAAATAAAATTTCTAGTAGTAAGTATAAAATAAAATTCTTAATAAAAAATAATTTAACGCAGCGGAATTTGAAAAACATCAAACTTCATTGCTTAAATTTGGTGTACTTCCGCCAATTGATACCGATTATCACGGTGCAGGTAAAATGATTAAAAAAAAATTCTTTGTAAAAATGTTTTAAAATAAATCTATTTTTTATTAATTTTACCCGCTGCTCGGTAATTTTTTTCTCACGGTAAGTCGCAGTATTTGCACCGTGCTGCCTCAACGTTCTTTGTTGTATTTGGTTAAAACAATTCAAAATTCCAGTGATATCGACACCACCACCTCCGCAACCCATAGCGTGTCAACTGCACGAGGCCACGTGTAGCAACGGAGACTGTATTCCAAGGGAATTAGTTTGCGATGGAAATTTCGATTGCAAAGATGGAACCGATGAAACTCGATGCAGTAAGAACAAAAATTTAACTTTAAGGTCATAATTGTTAAATCGATACCATGCTTATTTTAAATAGGTCAATACTCTTGCGAACCGAACGAATTCCGTTGTGCCAATAAACAATGTGTTTTAAAAACGTGGCTTTGCGATGGCGAAAACGATTGTCATGACGGTTCTGATGAATCTAATTGTGAACCATCACTTCCTGGACAAGCTTGTACCAACAAACAATTCGCTTGTAATTCCGGAAATCAATGTATACCAAGAAGTTTCCATTGCGATCACCAAAGAGATTGTCAAGATGGTTCTGATGAATTTGGATGTTGTATGTATTCTTTAACTGTAGGAAAAAATTGATTAAAACAATCTTTTTTTATTTTTTAGCCCGCGTTATTATTTTAAGACCACCACCACCTAGAGTGGAATTACATGTTGGATCGAGATTTGAAATTAGTTGTACTGCAGTAGGAATTCCAACTCCAGAAATAGTTTGGCGTCTAAATTGGGGACACATCCCAGAAAAATGTCGTACAAGAAGCGTGAATGGTACTGGGACATTAATATGCGATGATATTCAAGAACACGACCAAGGAGCTTATTCTTGCGAAGCTATTAATCAATTTGGACCAGTTTTTGCTACTCCCGATACAATTTTAACGGTTATTAGAGACGCTCATGTTTGTCCAGTAGGGTTCTTTAATGATGATGCTAGAAGAGAAGACGATTGCATTCCATGCTTCTGTTTTGGAATAACAACCAGTTGTAAATCCGCCGATCTATTTATTTATCAATTAAATCCGCCATTAATTTCTTATCAAACGCGTGGCGTTCATGTTGATAGAGTAACAGGGCAACTTCAAATTGATCGAGACGATCCAAGACATAGCGAAACTCGATTACAATTAACCCCAACTCGATTGAACACTGGAGTTAAACTTTATCACACTCCCGCACAAGGAGAAGAAAACATCATCCCTTATTTCGTGATGCCTGAAAATTATAATAGAAACCAATTAAAGAGTTATGGTGGTTATTTGAGATACAACGTGAGTTATAATGGATATGGAAGACCAACTTCTAAAGCTCCCGATGCGATTGTTGTCGGAAATGGGTACACTTTGATTCATCCCAGTAAAGAACATCAAGATCGATCAGAACACCATCGAAATATTAATTATGAAATTAGATATTTCCCTGGTGAATGGTTTATTCGAAATCAATACGGACAAGATATTCCCGCAAAGCGCGAAGAAATTATGATGGTTTTAGCTAACATTGATTTTATTTTAATTAAACTGCAATATGTCGAGGGTCATATTGATACAACTTTGGATAATATTGGTATGGATTCTGCGGGACCAACTGGACAAGATGATGCAGTGTTTGTTGAAGAATGTAGATGCCCAGTTGGATACAGTGGGTTATCTTGTGAGGTTAGAAAATTTTTAAATCAAATGATATGAAAAAAATTATTCTATTTCTTGTTTATTAGCTTTGTGCACCTGGATATACCCGTCATGAAAGCGGCGCTTGGCTAGGAAAATGTTACAAAATAGAAACTTGCGCTCCTGGAGAATATGGAGATCCAAATCGAGGAATACCATGCCGCCCATGTCCTTGTCCACATACTAACCCACCAAATCAGTAAGTTTAAAAACAAATTTCATTACATTTTTAATTAATTTAATGATTAGATTTGGAAGAACATGTTCGTTACAATCTGATGGTGACGTCATCTGCGATTGTCCAGCCGGTTACATAGGAAAACGTTGCGACCAATGCGCTTCAGGTTACACTGGAAATCCTTTAGTCCCAGGAGATACATGCCGACCAAGTCTTTGCAATCCAGATGGAACAGCAGTAATTGAACCAGATGGTAGATGCAGATGCAAGGTAATTTAAGTTATTTATACACTAATTTTAAATTAAACAACTATTTATTTCATCTTGCTTACTAACAATAAAATGTGAATGATGGCGTAAGTACTATTTGATAATTTAGAAATATTATTACCTCTTTTTTAATTATAATCTAGGAATTTACAACTGGACCATCTTGTAACCAATGTCAGAAAAATTCATTCCATCTCAGCAGTGATAATCAATTTGGATGCATAGCGTGTTTCTGCATGGGAGTAACTCAACAATGCTCAAGTTCAAATTGGTACAGAGACGTGGTAAGTATTTCCTGATTTATCTTTTAATTCTTCTATCATTATTTTTTATTTCATTCCTAGATTCAAACTGCCTTCACAAGCTCAAAGAATGATTTTAAAATCGTCGATTTCCGCCATAAAGAACAGCCATCAGACCATGGAATTGAACTTCGTTACGACAGCCGAGAAATTGTTTACACAAACTTTACTTCAAGTCCAGAAGTGAAATATTGGTACTTGCCAACCAGATATCTTGGAAATAAAGTTACTGCTTACGGAGGAAAATTAAAATATTCGTTGCGATATAATCCGCTTCCAGGTGGCCTAAGTTCAAGAAATACTTATCCGGATGTTGAACTTATCAGCAAGAACCATATTAAATTGTCTTATTACCACAAACAATCAATCCAACCTAATACCATCCAAACTGTATCTGTGCCGTTATTGGAACAATACTGGCAAAGAAATGATGGCCAAAAAACGTATAGAGAACATCTATTAATGGCTTTAGCTGAATTGGAAGCTATTTTGATCAAGGCAACGTACACAACGAATACCAGAGAAGTTGCTTTGCAATCTGTATCTTTGGATATAGCAGATAGTAGAAATACGGGTCTTCAAAGAGCCTTCGAAGTTGAACAATGTCATTGCCCACCTGGCTACAAAGGACTTTCATGCGAACATTGCGCATATGGATATAAAAGAACGACGGACGGATTATATCTTGGACTTTGTGAACCTTGTTCATGTAATGGTTATTCTAACGAATGTGACCCCGAAACCGGACATTGTTTGAACTGCAGAAATCATACCACAGGACCAGAATGTGAAAGTTGTGCAGCTAGCTACTCTGGAGATCCCATCAATAGAATTCCATGTCGATATGATGGAGATGTTGGTTGTAATTGTGATGCAAGAGGATCTATTAGTAGCTATTGTTATGGAGGAAGTTGTCGATGCAAAGTAAATTACTCAAAGAGATGTTAAATAGAGGTATTGATTTATTTTGATGATTTTAGACAAATGTTGAAGGACAAACCTGCAACAGATGTAAAGAAGGTACATTCGGTTTGAGCGCTGATCTACCTGACGGGTGCCAATCTTGTTTCTGCGCTGGTGTTTCATCGGAATGTAGTGAAAGTAATTTGTACGTGGAACAAATTCCAAGCCAAATTTTAGATCCATCTAGTAATAACGGATTTGTTTTAACTGATCGGTAAGAATAAAAAAATTGTATATAACCATTAATTAATGAACGTTTTTATTAAAGTAACATGCGTAAAATCATATCAGAAAATTTCCAAGCTGATCTATCTTTGAATGAAATCGCTTATATTTTCCGTCCAAGTGAATCTGACCGTCTTTTCTGGTCCTTACCCAACACCTTCACTGGAAACAAAATAAAATCGTACGGGGGAAAATTAGAATTTACACAACGATTTAATCAACGTCCAAATGCAGTCTTTTTCCAAGATAACGATGTTATCATTAACGGAAATGGTATCACGATTACTTGGTCATCTCCAACACCGCAACAAGTCGACATTGCAAATGTATTTGTATAATAATTTCATTTTATTTATATATTACATTTTTTTTGTTGTTTTAGAAAATATCAGTAACTTTAAGCCCTGCTGCTAAATGGCAAAGAGTGGATGATCGTCAAGGACCTCGACCTGCTTCTAGAGAAGATATTCTTCGCGTCTTAGCCAACATAAACGCGATCCTTATTAGAGCTCAACCATCGACTGATACCTCAACTACTTTTATTAGTGATATCACTTTAGATACGGCTGTTGAAACTGTTACTGGTCAAGATAAAGCAATTAATGTTGAAGAATGCAGATGTCCAGTGGTAAGTGTGAACATAATTATTAATTTTGTAAAATAATTTACGTATTTTTTTTAAGGGTTACAAAGGATCATCTTGCGAAGATTGTGATAAAGGTTACTACAGGGATAGTTCGGATAGTTCAATAGGTCCATTAGGATCTTGTTTGAAATGCCCTTGCAATAATAACGAAGAAAGTTGCCAATTAGGAACCGATAGTAGGGTTCATTGTACCTGTTTGCATGGATATCATGGACGTGATTGTGCAAATTCAGGTAAGAATTAAAAATAAACTACGTATTAATAAAGTTTTCTTTTAAAATAATTGCATGGCAAAAACTTTTCAGAATTTAACTTGTTATTATTATAGGTTGTAATGCATGCGTATCTTACCCACCATGTAGGTACTATACAACACGTAAATGTTCATATTGCTGGACCAATTGTTGTAGGTGCAAGCGTGAAATTTATAAATTGGAGAAAGGTTTGATTTTTGTAAATAAGTAAAAAATGCTAGAGCTGATTTATGTTATATGCCAAGGATTGTCTTCTGTCTTAGAGAGTTTTGTCCGGTGCTTTTTATTTGTTTTTTCCGGAAAGTTTTTATGTGAATATATCTAATAGAAAATGTTTTTAATAGATTCTATTGTAACAACACTTCCACCACCATACGGAAACAACACTCCAAGTATCATCGTTACCATCAAAGGACCGCAAATTAAGATCGTTAGCACAGGAGATACCGTTACCTATTATTGTGAAGCTAAAGCACCTCAAGTAATTATAAAAAAAATGTGATTGTTTAAATTTATGCGTTTAATTTATCAGGCTATAAGAATACCAACAATCTCTTGGAGTAGAGCAATTGGACCATTACCCGATCGTGCCATAGACGACAATCAAGGAACTCTCATTATTACTGATGTTAGAGTTTCTGATTCTGGAACTTACATTTGTCAAGCTAGAGATGGTTATACAGTTGCGACTAATTCCGTTAGTTTAACTGTAGGAGACGGTAAGTTTAAATAGATAAAGAAGTTAATGATGGATTAATTTTTGTTAATTTTAAAAATATAAAATATTTTCTTTCTTGCTAGCCATATCGAAACATTTAGTAAATAAGACAGGTAAAATAATATAATATATACAACGATAAGATTCTTGCTATTCTTAAGTTATAATTTATAATTATGAAATTATTTCTTTTTTATAATAATAGGAAATAAACCAACATATCCATCAAGTTCAATTCAACCAGAAAACTTAGAAGTAGCTGAAAACGATCCGTTCCAATTAATTTGTATGGTTACTGGTGTTCCTCATCCAAACATCTACTGGACTCGTGTTAATGAAGTACCTCTGAATCCACAGGTAGTTTTAAAATACTATTTAACTTTGTTTCTTTACTTCGTTAATTTTTTTTTATTTAGCATTCAGTATCTGATGGAATCCTCTATATTGAAAGAGCACATATCGCAGATAGTGGAGAATATAAATGTACCGCTTCAAACGTTGTTGCTTCCCATAATTCCTACGCCACTGTTAATGTACGACCATCATCCACCAACGAATTATTACCCGAAATATATCCGTCTTCTCACACTGGACCAGAAAGACAACCATTTACATTAAGATGCGATATCAGAGAACCTTACAATACAATATTTTGGAGCAAACACCCAGGAAGATTACCGCTCAGTGCAAGAGAACAAAGCGGAAATCTCATTGTTGAAGATCCCACAAAAGATGATTCTGGAACTTACACTTGTACAATTAAAACTTACACAGGAAGAACTACAAGTGCAACTGCTACAGTGAATATTCTTTCTCAACATGGCGTTGCACCAAGAGCACATGTTTCTCCAGTCAATCAAACTGTTGGGCAAGGAACAACCGTCGAAATTCATTGTGACGCATCCGGTTCGCCTACTCCTGATGTAAAATGGACGAGGGTTCATGAGAAATTAGGATACAATGCACACCAAATTGGAAACACTTTGCGTATTGATAACGTCGATATTTCTGATAGAGGAGTTTACGTTTGCGTTGCAAGTAACGAATTCGGATTTAGTAACAACTCTAGTTTCTTGGAAGTCTCTCGTAGAGCTATACCAATTATTGAAATCCATCCAAAAGCTCTCCAAGATATTCCAGAAGGTGGTAGCGCTTACGTGCAGTGTCGTGTAATCCAAGGAGATCCCCAACCTAACATCACATGGTCAAGACCATATGGACAACCCCTTGGAAGAAATGTCGAACAATTACATAGTGGTGTTTTAAGGTAAGAATTGTGTCATTAATCAATTAAGTCATAAAAAATGTGTCAGAAAAAAGGTTATGTTTCAAAATTTACAAAAAAATTATTTGTAAAATGAATCCAAAAAAATGAATCAAAAACTTGTATCTTTTCTCCTCATTGTGTTCATCTTTACGTTGATTATAACCCAAATTTGTAAATACTGTGTAACATTTTGTATTGGAATCGCTGTAGTTTACATCATCCGTGAAGTATTAACATAGAAATTGAGAAAAAAAAATTTTCTTCGGTATAGATTCTCCAGTATTAGCGAATCAGAAAGTGGTGAATACATTTGTTCGGCCACTAACGATGTTGGACATGTCACAGCTAAAGCCACCATTCAAGTGAGCACTTTACCAAGAATTACCATGTCACCACCTCTTCAAGGCGAACTTGCCGTTAAACAAGGTGAACCAGTCAGAATTGAATGTCGAGCTACAGGAAATCCTAGACCCTACGTGAGTTGGAGAAAACATGGAGAACGCGAAACGTAATAAAACAACTACGTAATTAATTATAAATTTAATGATTCGAATTTTTTTTAGAGTATACTCAACTCGCCTTCAGCCTACTCCTGATGCTGTATTAGATATTTCACATGTCTCAGATGGTGATGCTGGAAGTTATATTTGCACGGCTGAAAATAGTGCTGGAGTAACAGAAGAAAGAATTGAATTATCTGTTCACCCATCAAGAGGCGATATAACGGGTATGTACAAATTTACATTTATTTCTAAAATTGTGGTGTGACGTCCATAAAAAATCTTTATCATAACTTTTCGCAATCAAATAAAATAAAAGTTATGGTTAAGAAAAAATTAACATTCACGCTGTTGTAAATATGCTGCTTAATACTGTTTAATAATTTTTTCATGTACATTTTTTTCCTGCGGACTTAATAGGTAGTAGGAGTCGATATCCAGGTAAGGTTATAAAACAAAACCATACGTATAGCTTCAAACAAAAAAATATTAACCGCATTAAAATTTACACAAAAAACATTAACACTAAATGAATGATTTTTTTGTTAAAATTAATTAAGATTAAATTAACAACAAAAAAATTAACCAAAATGTTATTTTAGGTGAAGATAGCGGCGGAGAACCTGGCGGCAGAGGCGTAAAATCCAACGAAATCTACCCAGACGAAAATGTCTTCACCGCATATGTTAACACCAAAGTAGAAATGACGTGTCGTCTCGAAAATGGTAAAAACCTAAACAAACTTTTAACCTCTCTTTGAATCATGCTTTTTCAGTTCCTTATCAAGTTAGAACAAAATGGGTTCGTACCGATGGTAGACCACTTCCAGAAGGGCATTACACCACCGACACCAAATTAATAATCAGGGATGTTGAAGCATCAGATGCTGGAGAATATCAATGCATAACCACGGACATAAACGGAAATCATATTTTCAACCAAACAGCTCGTCTTCAAGTATTCGCAGCTCCAAGAGTTGTATTAGAACCTCCCACCCAAATTGTGCGTCCACGCGATATGGTCAGAATCTTCTGCAAAGTAACTGGTGATCAACCCATCACTATAGATTGGCATCCAGTTGGTAGAAGCATGCCTCTTAATATCTTTATTAACGGTCCATATTTGGAATTCCATGGAATTCAAGTAACTGATGCTGGAAGATATAGATGTTCTGCCAAAAATAATGCTGGCGAGGCCGATGCTGTTGCTGAAGTGATTATAAACGAAGCAGAACAACAACCTCAACAAGGACATGATCAAACTGCTAATGAAGGAGATTCGGTTGTTTTGCGTTGTGTGGTTACATCAAGTTCTTATAAAAATATTGAGTGGTATAGAGAACACGAACAATTACCGAGCCATTCGGAGCAACGTGGAAATGATTTGGAAATTAGAAACTTATCACCAAGAGACGCAGGAAAATATTACTGCGTAGTTTATTACAACGACGGATCATCATCAAGCGATTATACCAATTTAAATATATCACCTTCCGATCGACGACCAGCAAATCCTGAATTAATCATCCAATCCACAATTGAAAATCCAAAAGAAGGCGACTCAATGGACGTTTATTGCAGAACACACGAATCTGGAGTTTCTACCAGTTGGTCTAAAGTTAACAGTCAATTAGATGATAATACACAAACGAGTGGATCAACTCTTCGGTTTACCAATTTAAATCCAGCTAATAGCGGTATTTATCGATGCGAAGCCAGAGGATATTCCGGCCCTTATAGTAAAGATTATGTGTTGGATATTCAAGATTCTTATAAAGAAGGAAAATCACCTATGGATATTAAATCAGCACCACGAGGTTCTACTGTTTATATGGATTGCAAAATTGATTTCCATGGTCCTATAACTTATCATTGGACAAGACAAGATGGAGAATTACCCGAATATGTTGATAAATACAGCGTAAGTACAATTTTATTTAAAAAAAAACTTGTTTATGATGAATTTATTTACAGAAAACGATCGTTATAAAAGACTTGATAAGTAATGACGCTGGAACCTATATTTGCACCGCCACAGATGGAAGAATCACAAAAGTTATTCCACAAGTTCTTGTTGTAACAGGAATAGTTCCTTATTTTACTCAAGCTCCAAACAGCTACATTAGTTTACCAACTCTTCCAGATCATTACACCAGCTTTAAATATGAAATTTCTTTCAAACCAGAAACTGATTATGGTAAATTAAATCTAATAAACATAAAGCAATATATCTTATGTAATAATATTTCTTTTTATGTAAGGTTTGATTTTATTCAACGGTAGAAAAGGAGCCGATTATACCTCTTTAAGCATTGATGGTGGTCATCTTAAATTTAGACTTAATCTGGGCAAAGGAATCAATATCGTTATCGAATCACCAGAACCTATCGAAACGCGCCAATGGCACACAGTTGTTATAAATCGTAATAGAAAAACAGCGGTTATGTATGTCGACGGTAAAGGTCCATACAGCGAAACGGCACAAGCTAGTTATTCCGGTTTAACATTAAAAGATCCTCTTCATCTCGGCGGTGTTCCTAATTACAACATGCTTCCCGACGATATTCAAGTTCGAAACGGATTTGTCGGCTGTATTAGCCAATTTAAGGTCGGAACCGTTTATTACGATGTTTTAAGAGAAGCTCATAACAAGGTTGGTGTTACTAATTGCGAAACGTGCCAAGAAAATCCTTGCGTCAACCAAGGAGTTTGTCAGGAAAGTCTTTCAAAGAAGGGATTCACTTGCATTTGTCCTGAAAGATTCAGCGGTTCAACTTGTCAAAAAATGGCTGACCAATCTTGTAATCCATGTAAGTAACTTTAACAAAAATTTTTAAAGAAATAAATATCTTATTTTGTTTTTAGATATCTGTGGTATTGGAAAATGTGTAGATAACGAATACAGTTATGAATGTCATTGCCCAGTTGGTAGATCTGGAAAACGTTGCGAACGGGAAATATTCGTTCAAGAACCAGCTTTCTCTCGAGACGCTTATTTAGCTTATCCCCCTCCGAAATTACACGCCAGACAATACCGGATAAACTTGAAAATAAAACCAAGGGATTTAGGTGATGGTGTATTAGTTTACAGCGCGGAACGAAACGAAGGTTACGGCGATTTTCTTAGTGTCGCATTAAAAGATGCACAAGTCGAATTTAAATTTAGAAACGGCGAAAACGGTGTCGTCGTTTTAAGATCAAACCAAAAAATCAATCCGGGCGATTTCGTCGATATAATAGCCATAAAATCATTAAGAGATGCCAGATTGCACGTAAACGGAGCTACCGAAACGAAACGTTTCACCGCGACACCCAGCAAAGCTTTAAATCTTAACACACCTTTATATTTGGGTGGAGTAAACAAAGCCGAAATTACAATTAATAACCAAGTTGAAGTTAACGATGGATTTAACGGATGCATATCTGAGGTGATTTAATTTAATGTTAAATGATTTTCAAATATATTTGCAAATTTCGTTTTAGTTCTCTATTTCGGGAATTGAGATCGATATTATTAAATCATCCACTGAAGCTGCTAACGTTTTGGATTGTTCTGTAGAGAAAACTGCCGAATCCGATAAAACTGAATATAGTCATGAAGGTAGCATAGGATGTGATAGTAATCCTTGTAGAAATGATGGAGTTTGTTATCCTGAAACAGCCACAACGTTTAAATGCGCTTGTGTAAATGGATATAGGTATGTTAACTTTTTTACTAGTCAAAAAATATACTTTATTGATGTGGTTTCTATTGCTGATATAGTTTGAAAAGAATATCTTGCTTTTAAATCTATATTTTTTCTTGTCCACATGGTCCTTGATGTTGAAGATTTCCCTAGGGGCTTTCTTGTCTTGTTTTTACAAATGATTAAAGACTGGCCTTGAGCTGCCTTTTTGTGTGAAGTGGGAGATACAAAAGAGGTGATATTGTTGATCTTCCAATGTCGAACCCTGCCTACTTCTCTGCTTCCATATCTCTCGTCAATTTTGTTGGTCAGGATTTTGCTATTATACCGGGAATTTCATATAACTCGCAATATATGAATGCAGTACCATAGTTACGAAACTTCTATGCACTTGCATTGTACCACATAAAATCTCTAGAAGGCTAAACCCGAATGTTTCTAGTTCTAGGTCTAGTGTTAGTTTTGGTGCTAGAATTAACACAAGACAATTTCAATTTAAAATAAGTTTCATTTCTTAATTTCAATAAACATGGCTTCCAGAAATGTTTGAATTAACATCTTTTTTGACACTTAGTTTATGCGAAAATGTTAGTTTTTGCTCAATATGTTTTTTTCTCAATATTCTATCAGATTTTCGTCGTTCTGTAGCTACAGGTCTGATAAATAAATATTCACATTTACTGCGTCCACGAAAATGTCGTAGCGCAAGTTCTAAAGAAAGAGGAAGTTGCGAAAACTGTTCTGCCAAAGCTAGACTCCACTCAAAATGTACAGCGTGAAATGTTTATTTATGTTGCAATGAAAGAAAGATCTGTTTTTCTGAATATCATAATGTGATTAAGCTAAAACAAGTGTTATTTATTTTCTAACATAATAAAAAATGTATTATTTTTATATTGGCAATAAAAGTTTTTGTTTACTGCAACATCACTAAAATATATTTTAATGCCTGATGGTACTCTCAAGTACCATTATCCCCCTGGAATGGGGGGATTGAATATTTTGCTAAAATTGATTCCAAAGGCCTTTACTGAATGTATTTTGATAGCGTTTTAATTCTCTCACAAAATTTCGACATTTTTGACTTCTTGGGACACTTTTTCCCAAGACACTTCTTCACTGTATACTTTATATACCGTTCCAGTCATTGCTACGCTACGCCTCTATAAGTGTCGCAATTTTGTCTAACCCCCTTTTTATGTATGGTAGATATAAAGGCTGTATTCCACTCTTCTTGAGTTGCTTTGTTGTTGAGACAGGTCTGGATTTGAAGTAAATTTGGACACTTAATCAAACTTGGGTTTGCACAAGAACCCACTGCTAAGTCAATTTATACTCTTCTGCAACTATTACGTAATGTTATAAGAACTTAATACAAATTTAAAAATCGATAAAGCCGCATTAAAACAGCCCTCTGTTAAAGGATAGACCAAGTATTAATTTTAAACTAATAAAGATAACTTTTTGGTTACATACAAATTCTTATTCATAGATAACTGCACCATCAGCATCTTTAAATTAGAAATATAAAAAAAATTTAAATTTATTTTTATAATCTTTCATTTTTTAGTGGTATAACTTGTGAACAAGCACCAAATCAATGTGATCAATTAAGACCATGCCAAAACGGTGGAACATGCAGAGGATCAACGGAAGATTACGAATGTACTTGCCCAATTGGATTCTATGGAATAAATTGCGAACAACACCAAGAAATAAGATCGGAAGCCCAATTCGATGGAAATGGCTATTTAGAGTTTGACAGATCGTTTCTTCCACACGATAAAGATGACGAAGACGAATTAATAGCTGTTCAATTTATGACCAATTACAGTAATGGGGTTATCTTTTGGCATGGGCAAACACCTAACGAAGATGGACATGGAAAAGATTTCATTGGATTAGCAAGTTAGTACACAAAATTAAACTTAAAAAAATTTTTTCTCAATAAAAAATAATCTTTAGTTGTTGATGGTTATTTGGAATACTCTTATGATTTGGGAAGTGGACCTGTTACTATCGCAAATAAACAGATTCGGGTGGATGATGAAAGATTGCACACTGTGTTCTTGAAAAGACATGGAGTTTCTGGATCTATCGAAATTGATCATGCATATATGGAAAGAGGAACTGCACCTGGCATGGATACGGAAATGAGTTGCTTAGGAAATATTTATTTAGGTATGTAACAAATTAATTGTTGCAAATTAATTAAAATTTTATCGTAATAGGTGGCACTCCAAACGTTCCATACATGACTGGAAAATACAATCAAGGTTTTAACGGATGTATTCTTCAATTTGAAATTCAAAATTCTAAAGGAATCGATTTGGGAAAACATGCCATAAGTGGAATTAACGTCAAACCATGTCCAAGGTAATTTATCTCAATTAATTAACCCTAAAAAATACTAACTTACATAATTTATCCCATATTTTAATTCTTGCTGCTTTATATGCGTTTGGAAATTAAGATTAAGGTGGATTCCGTCCTCATTGATTTTCACCGATTTACCTGATCAATTTGACGTAATAATTCCTCCTCCTCCCGTAAATATTATCCATCCCAAACCATCAAGTAAAGGTAGTAGTAATTCAAATATTTACAAACCCATTAAAATTTCCGAATGGTTGTATTGTTTATTAATCGTACTAAATAGTTTACTAAATAATGTATGACTGAGATGAGCGTTAAATTTCTTATGGCAATAATTGTTTAGGATATCTTCGTTATACTGATATAAATAAATATATATAAATAAGTATATATATAAATGAATATAAATTAGAGAGGCATTTGTATATATAAAGCGTTGTTGATGTAAATTCGTGGTTACCTATTAAAAAGGAAGAAAATAAGAGTAATAAAAGTAAAATTAACGTGTGTATAAAAAAAATGTTTTGCTTCTTCAAAAGTTTGTCGTTTATTTTCAAATTGTTCATGGAGCGGTGTTTTTCTTTGCTAGGATTTAAGTATTGGCCAGAAAAAATAGGTACATATCAATGTAGGCTAACTCTACTGTAAATAAAACGACTTGTATAGTGTATTTTTAAATGGGACCTAAATATATGAATTGTAACTATAAACTTATATCAACAACTCGATATAAAAAAATATATAATTTAATAAACTGTAAAGAAAAACAAACTTGTATATAATATATCCAGACTGACTGCGTTATTTATTAATTTTAACGGTTTGTTTATGCTTACTTTAAAAGGAAAAATATTAGGTATAATTCATATTTTGATTTAATTCGAATTAATTAATTTTTTTTTAATTTTTAGTCAAAAAGAAAACGACGACGACCTGGTTAATTAAGAATCTTGTTACGGATAAAAATCACTTCAAGAAATAGTCAATGTACCCGTGTTCTTGACATTGTGTTCATCTATTTACTGTATTTTCTTTTTAATTAATTATCAAACTAACGTTATACTGCTTGTATTTGTGTTCAATGTTACATTTTACGCTCAAACGATGCTTGATTTTATGAAAACAAAAACACACAATGTTCGGATTATTAATGACCTGTTAATAATCAATTAAAACTGCCATCTTTTTACTTTTTTTACACCTACATTTTTTTTATTATAACTATTTTTTTTAATCGACCAAAATCGGTATTGTACAGTTAATAAGGAAAGAAAATATTACGATATTATGAAGGAAACAGAAACATACTTTGTGCCATCTTAGTTTATGTTCGCGATTTGTCAACAATATATCAACTATTTCGTTTTTATTTTTGTTTATATATATTTTTACGTACTTTATAATAATATAGCTATATGTATAATTGATATATTCTAATGGTGCTAGTAACAAGAAATTTAAACCCAAAAAAAAAGTTCTATTTGCTTTTATAATATTTATCGTTTGTAGCCAAACCCAGAAAAGTAACGATGTAATATTGTGAAGTAAAGAAAAAAAACGATTATTGTAACCTTTTACTATTAATACCTATTACACTATGTTATACACGAACAATGTGATTTCATGCGATGAAACTAAAACGTATCAGAAAAAGGTGATTAAACGTTGTAATAAAGAAGAAAAACAAATATAATTCGTAATAAGGCTATGAAATATAATCATTTTATATGTATACAAATGAAATGCTTGTAATATATAATTATATAATTAATATATGATAGTCTTGACGAGTCGATTCTGTCCAATGATCCGTGACGTAATTAATCGAAACGAACGAAAAATTTTAATTAAACGAAAAGTTAATTAATTGAAAAGTAAGGAAGCTTTTTTGCGGCATATATACATATTATATATTTCTTATTCTCTCACTTTAAGACGGTCTTCAGTCAAAAAAAAAACATGTCGACAGATTGCTCTATTATGGAAGGAGAACGTAATTATGTGCATTTTCAATAACTCAAGACAATAATTATTCTATAAATAAATGTATGTGAGTATCTTTATTGTGTTTTATTATTTTTTAACAAATCACTTTCTGCAGTTATACAGGATGTTTTATAAGATATCCGCAGGATTTCAGGATGTGATAGCTTAGCCAAAAATTTGAAAAAAACTTTTTATCAACTTACCCTCTAAAATACACCATTTTTGAGAGACAGGGTGTTGAAATTTAATAAAAAAATTCGTTTTTTGCAAATATCTCCGGAACCGTTCATCGTACAGAAAAAAGCGTTTGTTAACATTTTCTTCTCATAATAAGCTAAGTTTTGTGCGAGAAAAAATTTTTTAAAATCATAATTGGTGAAGATTTTGAAGGGGTAGTGGTTGTTTTTTTCCCCAACTTCTACGCCACTGGAAAAAGTACGGTTTTGAGACACCCATTTAAACCGCCAATATTTTCTACACAAAAAAGGTACTGAGGGTCATGAGCTCTAAAGTTGACCGTTTTCCAGAAAAATCTACTTTTATGTTGAATAACTGTATAATAGTCAATTTTTTGAAATAAATAATTTATTTTACAATTAATAAAAATGTATGTAAACGTTAGAACAAGTAACAAAAGCAAGCGTTAACTTCATAATTGCAAAAAAAATGAGGAAATGATACAAAAGTTGTCTTTTCAAAATTCTCCAAACCATAAAGGTAACAAATCGCACATTTCAGCGTTTGTGTAAAAAATTGTATAATTTATTTTTAACAAGTAGGCTTTAAATTTTATAACAAAAGCTACCTCCTGTCAAAACAACAATTAGTTTGTACCTGCAAAAAGTAAACTTGTATTACAAATTTAAAAATGAATTACAAGGTACGATAACAGCGATAAATGATGAGCAGAGTGTCAAACCTTTTGGAGTTACTATCATGATGTCATCCGATAATGGAGTTAAACCACAGAATAACCAGAAGTGACAATGGCGGTATCCCGTCATAAGTACCTATGCTGCAATACTTTGATTTAGTTTGTGGGCGAGGGGCAAGAGCAGGAGTGTTCCGTGACGTAAGCGATCACGGATTGCGCACGCAACCTCATGGCCACGTGGTGCTCCGTGCATTTGTTTAATTTGAATTGCTTGGCGGTATTATTTTCCACATGTGACGTAATGCGCAGTATGATTGCGTACGAATTTAGACAACCTCTTGATCAAATCTGACGCCATATTATAGCGAGTTGCCGAGGTATGCTGCTATTGGTGGAATATCGCCAGCGTTTCTGTGTCTTTGGTAACTCGCGATAATATGGCGGATTTTAAGTCGAGGTCACAAAACGAGGTGCCGCCAACATCAAACGAATCGACGTCAGTGTCATTTCTGGCTATTCTGTAGTTAAACTGCTCGTTTTAAGTGGTCCTAGAGGTCCTATCTCATGGCGAACTCCATTAAAGTTTCAAATTTCTACTTTTCTGGTGGAAGATTGGTGGTTGCACGGACTGGTGGATCCTGTGGGAGTTTGCACCTATTCAATGACTCAGAAACTAACCAGAAATGACATTGACATCGATTCGTTTGATGAGGGCGGCATCTCGTTTTATGACCTCGATTTAAAAATCCCCCATTTTATCGCGAGGAACCATCGGCGCGATAAATGCACAATGAATGAGAGAGACAACTTAATTTACCACCGATAGTAGCAATATGGCGTCAGATTTGGCAGGGTATCCCAGTCTCAGTGCCACTTCTGGTTATTCTGTGGTTTCGGTTCACTGAAGAACAGTTCCGCATTGTAACAGAAAGATACTTGCTTTATGACAATTTCCGAATTGCCTTGTAGCTTTCTATTTTATAAATCAATAACTCAAATTTGATTATCGTTAGCTTCCTCTTTTCTGTAATTGACTTTACTTTAAAAACACTGACCTGGGCTAAGTGTTTAGCAAAATTTTGTGATCTGTGGCTGCCACAATGATATGTTACTGATTTTCAAGGGTTTTATCAAAAATGTCACGTTGCGTCAAGGTTGATTTCGTCAAGGTGTCCTCGTCTACCTCTCACACTGCAAAATTTATTTGGACTGACTTAACCTGCTTTTAACGGTTAAAAGTGTAGCAATTTTCCCATTTAAGCTACTCGGGGTCTTCTTTTTCTGTTGCATACACGTAGAGGGACAGAGAGGCATGGCTCAAGCTCTGACATCTCCAACGCCATTTCCTCTCCTTAACTCTACTGATGACACATTGATTTGTTTTCTCCCACAAGTTTTCTTCGATATCACCTCACTGGATCTCACATTTATAATGCGTCGTAGGCATTGATTAATGAACACCTGTAGTTATATATTATATTAATAATAACAAAATCATTAATTTTGCGGAGTGTATTGATAAAGTCAATTGTGTCCATATATAAATCTTCTTTAAAAGGATTCCAGGAATACGTTAAACATTTCGCCATACGATTTTTGTTGCTGACCTTTGGCAGCGATTACGAATGTTGTTCTATTTGAGAATATGTGAGAGATGTGCTCATTTTTAACATTCTAGCTTGGTCAATTGCAAAGAATTGCGATTAATTAATAATTGCTGAAAACAAGAGTAATCTTTATCAAGGTCAACAAATTTATGTGTGGAGAGTTAAAAAATGTACTGGTGCTATTCTATTTAAAATTACTAAATTATAGTCTGCTTCTAATACAGCAGAAGTGGCGGCCATCTTGTAAATGATTAACAAACATTTTTGATTTAAATTGCGTGTATACCGCTCAACATATGCAACTTTTCGTAACATTTGAAATAACAAGTCCATCTTTTAACAAATATGTAAAAGTTATAAAGAAACCAGTAAAGCAAAAACTTACAAATTTTAATTGTTATAACTTTAGTCAATTTCGAAATCTTAGCTTATTAAACCTATTTATTAACCAATAACTTTTAGATATACTTATTAATAATATTTTACTTCAAGGTTGATTTCAAAAAGTAATACAACATATTATATTTTTCCACGTAATTGTGCAAATCGTTCGAACAAGGTCAAACGACCGAACGCGTGTGCGCAAAAAAAACGGTTTTGACAAACATAAACAGCTACATTCGTTTTAAATAGGAGAATTTGTCATTGCACTTTGGCCTATGTCTTAGTTCGGGTTTTTAGCAAAAAAAAAACGGAAGGTTCAAGGACATGTTTGAGAGGTTTCTTCATTCGCCGAATGGTTACTAGCTGATACAACACACGCCGGACTTCTCACAAAGACCGACAACGACCAGCGGTGCTGTGTTGCTCATCTGGGTCCCCGAAGAAAACCCAGAAGTAAGGAGTGGGAGTTGCGGGTCCGTCCACCGCCAAACGCTTTGGACCCGTCGAGGCAATGATTCAGAACGACCAAGAGTGGATTCTTGAACGGTGACGAAGGAAGCAGCAGATGCGCACTACTCGAGGACACACACCAGACCAGTTTTCAAAAAGATTTTTTTTTTGTGAAGATTTTCTCAATGTTTTTTTATAGAATTTTAACGAAAATTTATTAAAACCTTCCGGATTTACTCAAGGTGAGTTTTTTCGTGTTATCTTATTAGCTTTAAATCTTTGATAGTGGGTTTTTTTAAATTTCAGTATAAATATGATTACATTTTTTTTGTATTTTCCAGGCGATTGCGTTATATGACCAAAACCGCAGCTATAATAGTTTATACAATTTTAACAGTTACTCTAGTGGTTAACGGTGTTAAATAAGTTGTCTTTGTGATGGTTTTAAAATAAAAGTGATTAAAATTGGTGATTTAATAAACATTTACGTATAAATATAAAAGGAAGTGTTTATTTTTGGATATCTTTTATTGAATGCATTCATTCAACATGGTAAGTTGAAACGATTTTGTTATATTTTTTTCTTCAATGTGTTGTACCCCATTTGTATACTCGCGTATCGGCTACTTAGAAAAGACTTTCCCGTTCGCCGTTTATACCAATGTTCCTTTTGGATTCTAAAATAAACCATGCGCGGCTTTTACGAACCGTCGTGACTCAAACCCCAGTTTAAATTTTATTGCATTAATTATTTTGCTCTCAACTTTTTTATTTTTTTTTTAATTTAATTTAATTTAAATTTTTGAAATAAACAAATTACGTAAATTATTAATTAACACCAACTAATTAACTTAATCTTGTGTATTAAACTCGTGATCTTTTTATGTCAACACTTTAAATAATCGCTAAATTAAATTCGATAATTTTTGTGGTATTAATTATTTGGGCAAATTTTGGTTTAAAATTAAGTAAAACAAAAAAAATCTTTTCTTTTCCATTCATTTTAAAACACAGAATTACCCCTTTGGGTGAAAATAAAAATGAATATAAAAAGAAAAAATATCTGTTTCGGTTCCCCTCATCAGGGCAAAATTAACAAAACGACCGCGTCTGCACGTTCCTGACACATAAATAGGCCTTCCAGCAATCCAAAGAGCTCAGAATAACCGAGCACACAAACCTCTGCACAAAGAGAAGCAGGTAACAGCACGAAACACCTGCCAGGTTCAACCTCTGCCCAGTTATTATTCCTCCTCATCTCAAAAACCTTGCACACATTCGTATTCTCCGACTATTAAAACCATTTAATACACCGAACACGTTAAAACTTGAACGTTCTCCATTTGCGGAATCGGCGATTAATAAGTTGGGAAATTTCGTGTTTAGATTTAGGTAGTGGTATTAATAAGAATTTCAGTGTGGAGGCAGATGTCGCTGATTTTATTTTACGAACTCGGTCATTAGGAATGAACGCAATGTTTATGTGAAGCCAGATGGTTCTGGCTGTTGCTGTTGGTTGTTTGGTGTTGCTGCTGCTGCTGCTGCGGCAATGTCCTCTACGTCACGTGCTCTGCCGGAACTTTCGGATGGAGCAGCTGTAAAAATTGCGGCGTGCTCTCGAGAGCAGGTAGAAATTGAACAGAAACTGTATTCGAAAATCCATTCTCCTTAGATGATTTATATAAACATAAAATCTAAAGAAATTTAAATAAATTATTTATTACGAACTTTATAAGTATTGTCGAATGCAAGTGCTTAACTTAATCATCCCAGTTCAGTTCTAATTAAAGTTGGAAAGACGATTAAACTTCACGGAGTAATTAATTAAAGGCTCCCCCCCAATTGTACTTTCTTACTTTATTTTATCTTTTTTTACGCCTTTCTTTTGGGGCGTTTTTTTTGATTCCCTTTTTCTTTTAGACGCTATCTACCTGAAGTTGTACGTCTCTTTATTCAAGGCGCCCGAGGTTTCATTAGAGACCCACTCTCTCCTCGCTTTATGATATCCTTTATTTAGCGAAATACTGATTTACGATGCCCGGGTTCTGGTAGAGCAACCATTACTGCCCTCTTATCTGGCATAAAGCGCCTCGTTTTCGCCTTCATTAACTTTGCCACAGTTATACACTACCGAGTCAGGCCTCTATTCTCAGTGACAAATTGCACGGCTGTTTCTGTGGCTCAGTGTTTCGCGATTCTCCAACTTCCTCGAAATAAGTTCTTCAAGATTCTCGCTAATTTTGATAAATTCTTAAAAGACTGTTCCTGTAGTAGTGTTACATTGAAAATAATAAAGGTTTTCACGTTTCCGACTATAAACTGTAACGCAAGGAAAAGAATTAACCAAAATTACTTGAATACCATATTAGAATAATGTGGGAACCTCTGTGATAAATTGCACAACTGTTTCTAAGGCTAATTGTTATGAGAATTCTTCGTTAACATTGAATAATGCTTGGAGTAAAACTTCTCATTAATTTTAACAAATACAATTTAACTTATTTAATAAAAAAAGATCTAAAATAAAATTTCTTTGAAACCTTATCTGTGCAAAACCTGTCGAACACGTGTGATTACTTCCAGGCGTTTCCCCCGCTGGCAACATGTTTGCGATGATATACGATGCCAAATGCACGGGTGTGATCCCCCTTCATTTAATGGATTGGGCGTAGTTAGTTATTTACCAGACGAAAAACTGGCTTAAGCACATCAGCTTGAACCACCTTAATTTCTTTTTTGCTTCATTTTACTTTTATTTTTTTCCGATCAAAAATCGTTTGGATTATTCGAACGTAATCGTTCGCCTACACGTTACAACATCAATTCCTATTGCGCCAAAAAGCCCACAGGCTATGAAAGTGACAGATTCAAACAATACTCCTAACTTACAGTTAGTATTGATATAAACTCCGCTTTACTAAAACCAATGGTCACGTATCAACACAGTCTCCTAGGAAGTAATATCGGAATTGTATTAAGATTATTGAAATGGTTTATAGTTTTCGATATCTTTCACAGTTTGGTGAACACACACGTGTACAAAATTGCATAACTTCGTCCGATTTATACAACGTGATTTTGAAAATGTGGTTATTGGAAATAAAAGTGAAATGGAAATGGATCGATGAATGGATGGGTTTTGGTGGCGGATTATTTACAACGCGGGGGCAGTGTGTACTTTAGATTTGAGGGGTATAACAAAAGCCTATAATTGCCAATTAACTGACGATTGTTTGGCCGTACGTTGTCGGTTTCGTAATAATGTTGCAATGTGGCGGAGAGGTGAAGTAATCGGCTTCTTGCGTGCAACCTTTGAAAAACACGGTCGTGTTTGTTGTTCCCTTTAGTAATAGGAGAAGAAACCGCAATGTTACTATTTTTGGATGGAAGGAAAAATATTTCCAGATTCACACACACTTAAAAGAAAATAAATTACTTAAATATGCTATAAACTAATGTATTCAGTAAAATACTTTAATAAAAATATCTTATACGTTACGTGACAAAATAGAATTTAATAGGACCATTCTTACAGAATGGTATCTTGAGCATTAATGTTGATTCTTTTACTGCTGGGTATAGAACGATAACCGAGACTTACTAGAGCAAAGGAAACATGTACAAAAAATGTAATGAAAGTATTCCTGGGTGATTTATTAAGATGTATTTAAATCTTACCATGTTAGTGGCAAGAATTACCTTGGCAAGTAATGATTATTAAAATTAGCTCCAAAAAGACTTTACCAAAAATATCAATTTATTTATCAAATAGGTAATGTTCTTTCATTATTTTTGATGCAAACATGCTGATCAATTTGCTGGCCCACTGGTGTTAAATTATACTTATGTTTTTGTTTTCCGAGTTAATCATGAGTTCTTCTTCTTCGCCGGTCATTTGGGCATAATAAAGAGTGCGACCGCAGATCTTTGAAGTATGAGTGGAATCCCCGACGTAAAAGCGAAATCTTCGTAAAACGAACCTATATTTACAATGAGGTATACATATACATACATACATGTGTATAGGATTAAGTTGTACGTACCTCAAAATTAAACGATTAATGTTGTTTTCATAGTTGAAAGGATACGCTTTAGATCGACCGTTTTCATCACTTTTGAAATTTCTACTTCGTTGTCTTCATCCCCTTTTCATGATCCAACTCTTTCTATAATTCTTCTAGGTCTTCGTTTGTGAGTGGTTCATCTTGGACTACTAAATGTGACATCTTGAGCAGTAACATCTTTCAATCCCAAATCACTTGCAAACCTGGCAGTCTTTAATTAGATTCTCTTGTTGTGGCACTTCTTCAAAATCGTGCATTAACGCTGACAGAAGTTTACGCCAAACTCCATTTAAACATTTTGCCGAAACTTCATTCCAAGCCGACTAAATAATTAATGCTTTTTAAAATATCGAAAGACCGCAAATAGTCTTTGACTGTTTTATCTGAAGTGTCCAAAACTCACCATTTCCAAGAAAGTATTGCGATGATATTATGCCTTAAAGGTTTTCTACAAAAGTGTAGTGTTTTGATTTCGTCCAGGTTTTGAGGATATCCTGGAGCATCTGTTTCCAGATTAAAAGTTGAGTTAAAAATTGATTTTGTTTTTTCCGTTTGAGTCAATCGAATATTTGTTTGATGTTTTTTTCAAAAATTTTCCTCTGCTCTATTTTACATGTTTAACATTTAGTGCTGCAGACTGTTGAGCAGAGTGTTTATTTTATCTATATTTCTCATAATTGTAGTAACAGTTGGTGGAGACAAGACGTAATCCGAGGGCTACCTGTATTCCAAAAATTTAGTACATACATTGTAATGTTACAACTGAATGAGTCTTCCGGCGAAATTCCTTTTATTAATGATTTACTCAATTTTCTTCAAGATTATCAGGATTTCGAACAATCTACGTGTTTCTGGCATATATGCAGGTTAAAGAAATTCTCTCCATACATTGTCGTAGGTAGCTGACAAATCAATGAATGCAGCAGAAGTTTTCAGCTTTCTTTACAATCTCGCTTCAATATGAGGGTCGAAGCAGCTCCGTTTTGGCTTGAAACATTCTTATTTGATCGGTATTACGTCAAACACTCTCTCAGATTCTGTTGTAGATGAGCTTTTCAAGTAATTTGTATGTTATTGATAATAATCATATGGTACTGTAGCTTTTAGGCAAGTTTGCTGCTTTCCCTGGTTTTTGGAAGGTAAATTTTGGATGGAGAATCTGAGTTAATACCGTCTTCCATAAATTCATGGCTTAAAATTGACAGTTAACATAAAGCTAAACGAGCTTTAATACTGAAATTGAAGAACTCTTAGGTTAATAACACTTATCTTGTAATTACAGTTAATTTTTTTTTAATTTTTCACGGACAGATGGAAGACGTTTTGGTATTTTCAATATGTTTTGATGAACACTTGTGGTTTAATAGTATGTACTCGGTGCAAATTCGATTGAAATTGATAATTATGTCGAGATTAATGAATCTATCTATTGGTAATGTTAATTTATTGGAAGCTGGGGAAATATCAAATTTAAATTTAAATTCATGTTAAATAACTATTAACGAATGTAAATATGAATGTCGAGAATTGAGATAAATTTGATTCATAAAATAAATTAAATGTATATATACTATTATTGTAATGTCAATTTCAAATTTTCTAGTGGAATTAAAATCCAATCAACTTTTTTATCATCACGAATAATAAAATAACAATAAATCCGCGATTTTAATTGAATAAAACGTTTAGATATTTCGTTCGATAATTCGAGATATGATGTCAATATACAACAGTTGTGTTTTAAATTAAAAATGTGATAATGAAAATCAATTCACTTAACTTTGGTGTTTGTTTGGGTGTTCCCTTTAGTTTGTAAATATCAAATAAATTTGTCGTTTCGTTTACTACTTGTAACTTAAGCAATGAAAATATATTTCGAAAAATCTTTATCAATTTTAGACACATGTTACCAATATTTCTTGTATTGGAACTTATTATTTAAAGTAAAATATCATGTTGGTGTGAAAATAAGTTTTTAGATTGTAGAAAATAATGAAAATAACACCTCATACCCTACCTGAATATCGTGCTATCTCACATAAACGACGAGATAAGCTGTTGATAACACACCCCGCGTTTCTACGTAGAATCTTTCTGTCAGTCCTTCGAATATCTCACAACGTCCGCAGTTCCGAGGTGGTCAAAAGGAAAAAAACCGTCAACGTCGCGTACTGTTCTCAATTCCTGACTCAGAGATCTACTCTGGACATTGTAGTCAGTGTAGCGTGGCCATTTGAAGTATTTACAGTGACCGTGAACGCAATTAAGAAGAAATTTCGAACGGTAACCACTTAATAAAGTAAAACTTAATTTATGGAGAGAATATTCTTGATAACAAGCAGGTAACAAAAAAAACTTTAACATTAACGATTCTAAATATTTTTTTAATTTGTTGCTTTATAAATCCGTATCAATTATTATCGTTTCATCTTTCAATTGGCGATTTGATAACAAAATAAAGTCACGGTCGTTTCAATTATATACGTGGAACGAGTTTTCCTCTCTCCCTATCTTCGTTATTATCGCGTGATATTTTTATTTGCAAATATTTGTACGGCACAATCCAGTATTTGCGCGCGCAAAAATAAATTTAATTTAAATTTACTTATAATTTTTTATTTTCTTTTCAGGATTTGTTAACAATAATTTTAGTGTCCAAACACCACCCTCCATACAATGGATTCACCGCCTCCGGAAGGAACTATAGTGAAGAGTAGAACAGAAACCGTTAAAACTGAAGATGATGGCTCAGTTATTACGACAACAAAAACAGTTTACGTAACCAGCGTTCCAACCTATGTTGATACAGAAATAACTGCTGATACATTAAAGAGGATATCTTCAAGAGAAGAAAATCTTTTAGAACCCACCGCAAATAGGAGATCAATAATAAATAAAGAGGCTTATCTTAAATTGCATAACATTAACACATCAAATTCAAAACATAGTTTAGATAACATTAAAATTAAATACGAAAATAATTCAAATCAAAATAATCCAGAAGATCCAAATAATTCGAATAAATCTAATAACTCTAATACTACAGTTGCATTGAGTGAAGATTCGATTCAAATATTAAAAGATAAATATTCTCCATCGAGTTTTGGTTACCCAAAATTAGAAAAATCACCTGAGTTACCAAAAAATCCACCTCCCGTAATTCCCAGGACAAGTTCTTTAAGAACAAAACCTGACGTACCAAATAAACCTGAATATCTTCGGTATTCCTACGTTCCTTATAGCCATAACAAACCGGAAGTCCCAAAACGATCATCGTTATTAGTCGCAAAAGCACCTCGCATAACAGATACACCATCAATTGAAGTATCAGAAAAATTACCTCCCGTTCCCCGACTAACCGAGTCAACACTTAAGAAATTAAAAGATACCGAAGTTGAGGAACGAGTTATTATTAGAAGATCTTCATCGGAAGATAGTGTTGGAAAAATTGAATCGGACCTTTCGAAATTCACAATGGAAACGAAACCGAAAAAACGATCAAGTAGTTTTAAGAAAATCCTTACGAACGGATTGTTTGGTAAAGACAAAAAGAAATCGGATAAGAAAAAGGATGAAGAGAAGTTAAAAACTAAGAAGACTGATAACGTTATTGTCGCCGATAATGCCCAAAATGAGCAAGCTTTTAAAGTTGAGAGACAAAATAGTATAAAAAGAGCTCCCCTCGCGCAAAATGAAAGCGATTTGGTTGAGAAGCAATACGCAGAAATGCACATCAATCAATTTAATCGGATTAGAGCCAATTTTAATCAAGATATACATAACGATAATAATCAATATCGAGAGTATAACAGAAATATGCAAGATAAATACTTAGAATCGAGTTCTTCAACGAATACCTTAGAATCAGAAGGTACTAGTTCCAGGCAAGGTACTTACCAAAATGCTTTAAAGGCCCAAGCGGAAATGATGCAGTTAAGAGAATTGGAATTAATAGCAAATGAAACTCCTCCAAGAGCTAAAGAAACCCATCAAAACGTACAGCTGATAAAACCGAAAGCCCTAATTCCAATTAATTCAGAAAGAGCGCTTCCTAATCCTTATCAAAACGATGAGGATTTAGACAACAATTTAAATCGACCTGATAAAGATTTCGACCAAAGCAGTTATAGTCCCAATGTCACTAAATCATCAAATTCGTCAAATTTAAATAGCCCATCCTCGCCAGGAAGTTACGCAAGATCAAGTACGAGATCAAGCCCAAAATCGCCTACTTTAGAAGGGTCAAAATTAAAGCTTCCCCAAAATAGGGAAAAAATTAGCTTACAACCAAGAATAAAATCACCAATTCCACAAAATAAAATTAGTACCGATAAAATAATAGCAACGGAATTATTAAAAAAAGTTGATAACAAAAAAACTGGCCCAACCCATCAAAAATTAGAAATTGAAATTGATTATCCGGACCACTACGAGAATAACAAGATGGGTAATAAATCACCAAATACAATAGAAGCTGGAAAATGGCACCAAAAACAAAGGGAGTTGGAAAAATCACCTTCACTTCTTGGTTTAGACGCTAAAGAAATTCATGTTGATGTACATAAAGATGGATATCAAAGAAAGAATCATCCGCAAAATTTAACGCAAGTTTCGCCGAAATTGCCCCAAAATCTTCCACCAAATTATCAATCATTATCACAAAATTACCGGGGAGCTGTACCACAAAATTATCAATCAACCTTACCACAAAATTATCAATCAACCTTACCACAAAATCTTCCACAAAATTATCAAACAAATTTATTACAAAATCCTCCACCAAATTATCAATCAAATTTACCACAAAATCCTTCACCAAATTATCAATCAACTTTACCACAAAATCCTCCACCAAATCTTCCTCCTGAATTACCAATCAGTCCAAATAATTCCAACCGATCAATAACACCAGTCAGAAGAGCACCATCGAACGCTTCGTTACAATATTCACCATCAAAACAAGATATGCGCCAAAGTGTCGAAATTTATTGTTGGAAAGAAATACAAAAATTAAAAGAAAAACAAGATCAAGAATTAAAATATCAACTTCAATACACACCCCATGGTTGCGTTGAAGACCCGATTATTCACAGACGTTCAAGAAGTGTTGAACCGAATCAAAATCGTGGTCGCAGGAGTACAAGTTTACCCAGAGAAGTGAAACCATCCCAAATTGAAAGAAATAATAGATATAACCAACAATTCGCAATACCAGAAAATCGACCCGTTTATTATACAAACGACCCAATTCAAAATCACCCTAACTTTATAAGAAGTTCACCTCAAAGAAGAACGGTTTCTGGTTCGGACAGAAGAATTGGTTACGAAGGTTATTATTCAAACGCTGAGGTACCCTATAGACCTATTTTTAATCGAGGAAGTTTAAACCCTCACGTCCAAATGGAACAATACAACATAAATCAAATTAACCAACAAAAAAAAAATGTTAGTTTTAATGGGAAATCTCAACAGAATCAAACTCAATGGCCCACTAAAAATGGTTACGTTGAAAGTCCACCTCAAAGAAGATTATTGGATAAATCAATGTCAATTGGTTCGGATGACGTTTTTATTAACAACAAGCCAAATCAAACTCAAAATGATTCGGTGATTATTTTAAGAGAACCAATTTATGGAACAAAACCCATTCAAACAACCGAAATCGATGGAAGATTAAGAATACAAGAACCTAATTATGCACCAAGAAGACAAATTCAAGAAGAATCCTATCACATAAGAAGAGAAATCATCGAAAATCCATATGGGCAAAGAATAAAACAACAAATTAACCATCAAAATTCACCTTTGTATGCTTTACAAGAAAACAAACATAATTTAAACGAAGTTTCAAGACAACGACAAGAAAATATATCCCAAAATCAAATTTATGGAATGCAACAAGTTAATCAACCAATTTATGCATCAAAATTGAGTATCCAAGAAAGTCCTTATGGTACAAGAGAATCTATTTATGGTTCAAAAACTGGATTACGTCAACCAATTAATGAATCGCCGTATGGTTATCGTACAAATGAACCTTTATACGGTCAAAAACAAGTGACCGTATCAAATAAATATTGCGATATTTATGGTAGAATTCATGATAATGGACAAAGAGTACCTTTGAGTCCACCGCAGGGACAACAACAAGGTGTTATTTACGGACAACTCCAGGGAAATGTTTCCGGACGCCCACCGTTACATCACAGCTATAACCAAATACCGAATAATTTTGTGAGAGGAAGTAGATTGACTTCAAGTGCTAATGATATGTACAGAAGGGATTTAAGGGTTCCACCGCCGGGGTTTAATCCGAACGCTCCTCTACCACCTATTCCAATGGAACATAAAACGCAGATATTGATGAGAAGGAGAGGACCGATTTCAGATAGTGAAAGTGAAAGGAACTTTGTTGGTAAGTAGAAGATGTAAATAAAAGAAAAATGGGGAAAAGAGAAATTAATTTAAACTTTGAGGAAGAAGTTTTTTTTTGTATACATAAAAAGGTTATATTTTTCCTCAAAGTTTATTTGTGCTTTGTTTTAAAAAAAGGGAATTGAAGTCGCTATTAGTCCTGGTTGTTTTATTTTTATTTGTACTTTGCTTTTTTTGTCGTGTTAGTTATTGTATAGATTTACTTTTTTTTAATTGTATTTTTTTTCTATAAACATATCTTAATTTATAATTATAATTCTTGTATAGTTGTTTTTTAGCAGTATTATTTTATTGGTAACAATTTTATTAATAACGTTTTTTTAATTAATGACCACTTTTTAATTTTTATTCTTGCCCACCACAACACAATGTATCTATTTATTATTATTCTTTAAAGCCGTTTTAACACACCCAATAAAATATGTTTAGACGTCATAAATTGTTGTTTTATTTTCTAATAGCACCTTCAATTCTTCTGCTTTGTTTTTGGGATTTCTAACAAAAAAAAAATGGTGCCTTAACATAACGCTTAAGACAATCAAGATGTAAAATAAGCTTAGGCAAAAAATACACTCTATCTAACAACAATAACAAATTTTTCAATTCTTTTATTTCCTTCTAAAAGATTTATAAAAAGAATCGGTGAAGCTTTATTTTTAAGAATAAAATTTATATGCTAAATTAAAGCTAAATGAGCAAGAATAAGTTTGCTATAAAATGCTTTTAATCTCATTATGGTATGTTATTGCATTTTTGAGATACGACTTTTTATAAGTTGGCAGTATGGAAAAAAAAGTAAAATTTCTTCTTTGCATTAACACTACATGAATTTTTCCTTCGAATGTTTATCTCATTATCTTTTTGAGATGTAATTCATTGAAAACATTCGGATTTGTGCTTATAGTACCATAACATCCAAATTTATGGGAACTAAGAAATCGTGTATAGCATATTAAAACTAGATTAAAGTTGCTTTAAAATGCTACTAATCCCATGAAGATATCTCAGATGGTTATTGAGATACAATTTTTTAATTTCCAAATGCGGTTCAAAAATCTTCACACATACAGAGTTGGATTTAAATAATCTAAACTACTTGATTTATGGAAACTAAGAAACAATTTAATGGATTTTAAAACTAGACTAATTTTGCTTTCAAATGCTTTTTATCTCGTAATAATATCTTAATCCGTTTTTGAGATACGATTAATTGAAAATCCTTACTTTCTATCTTGTTAACTGTGGAACAGATTTGTGTTTAAAGCGCCATAAAAACCAAAGTTATGGAAACATAAAAATCACGTATGGCATGTTAAAACTAGATTGGATTTGTTTTAAACTGCTGCTAATTTTATTAAGATATCTCAAATGGTTTTTGAGGTACAATTTTTTTAATTTCCAATTGTTTTTATAAAATTTAGACATAGAGAATTAGGTCCAAAAAGCTAAAACTATGGGGTTTATGGAAACTAAGAAATAATTGAATGCACTCTAAAAGTAGATTAAATTTGCTTTGAAATGCCTTTTATCTCATAAAAATATCTCAATCCGTTTTTGAGATACGATTTATTCAATATCCTTCATTTCTATTGTAATCTTGATGATTGTGAAAATGCAGAATTGTATTTAAAGTGCCATAATATCCAAAGTTATGGAAACATGGTAATCACGTATGGCATGATAAAACTAGATTGAATTTGCTTTAAACTGCTGCTAATTTTATTAAGATATCTCAAATGGTTTATCAGATACGATTTTTTTTATTTCGAAATGTTTGAATAACATTTAGGCAAAAAGAGTTAGATTCAAAAAACTGAAACTATGGGGTCCATGGAAACTAATAAATAATGTATTACACTCTGAAACTAGATGATATTTGCTTTTAATTGCTTTTAATCTTATTATATGTATCTCAATTCATTGCTAAGATGCGATTCATTCAATATCATTCTTTTTTAATGTAAACTTGACGGTTTTTCTAGGTCTAGCAAAAAGCTTACTAGTTCAACTATGGTCCTATAAGCTAATGAATAGCAACAATCTGTACAATTCTGAGCAAAAATATCAGACATCTCATGAATCAAAACTACTTTATCATTCTTCGTTCTCTCAGGCCTAGTACTAAGATCGTCGAGCTGAATATTTCTCGTTATAGACAAAAATCAGATAGGTTTGGTAATTACTTTATTGGTGGCCATAACCTATGAAAGTTCTCTTTATTTTGCCTGAAACGAGCAAACAATTTCTGTTGCAACCTATTTCATTCTCTTCCGATTTCATGCATCTTGTTCTTTTCATTGTAGTTGTAAAGTCTAAGACAATCCAGGGCATATTTTTGCTTTTTTGGGTCATACATTTTTCTTTACAAATGAATCCACAACCAATGGATATAAGGTAAATATTTGGCAGCTATAAGATGACGTTAATAGTAATTACTACCTACTAAATATATGATGTATTTGTTAGTATTTGGTAATCACCAATGACCAGATCACAAAATCTGGTTACAATATTGATGTCTCGTAAATACTAAAAGCGACACTGGATTTCTTTATCTAAAAGCTTCTTTATACACATTTTATTTGAACGTACATTAACTCCCTCCTTTTTCGAGCGCACTCAAAAAGGAAAGAGCTTTTATTGACCTTAACGCATCAATTAACGCCAGTTAAACTTAAACTCAACACATTCAGATATGTTACAACTTCCAAAAGCTATTTTAATACGTCATTATTTGTATAGTTGTTTTATTTGTTTGGTTGGTAAAGAATTTATTATTTTTTTGTTAAGATTAATATATATCTTATTGGGTTTGGTCCTGAACTTTGGGTTGTCTCATTTTCCTGTGTATCCCGGGAAAGGGCGTGATTTGACGACACGCAGGGCGTTCACCCTCTGCAGGTTCGCGGAGCACCCGCCAGAGCGAACGGTAGCGCTCCTATCGATTATCCCGAGAGTTTGATTACGTCACAGATGCTGTAATCTAGTCGACCACGGCCCGCTGTACCATTCGTCGCGACGCCCGCGTACGGCCGTTTTCTTCCTAGATCTCCGTGTTTTCCATTGACTAACTCTTTATCGACACAGTGTCAACCCTCTTTCAACGACAATTTAAGAGAGAGTTTACATTTTTTATTGTTTTTAAAGGCAAAATTGGGAAAAATTGATTTTTATTTAATTTAAAACTTTGTTATACTTGGTTAAACAATTGAAGTGACTATAAATTTTTGTATTTTTTTTATTTTGTGAATGAACTGCAAAAAAAATTAATTAAAATAAGTACAGACATGAAAAGCCAACATTCGTTAATAGTTTTTGTGACCACCTTGTAAATTTGTTTCGGAGCTGTACTAACATTATCAAACACCCTGTAAGTATTAATTTAATTTTTTATTAAAAAAATGTATTAAAAATATTTTGTAAAGACTTATCAGTTTAAATTTATCGGCTTTTAACATACATTTTATTGATATAAATAAATAATTAATTAGTTAATTAAAAAAATAATAATAATTAATTTTTTATAAAAAAAAACGTTTTGTCAGAAGTGGGATTCGAACCCACGCCCTCAGAGAGGACTGCGACCTGAACGCAGCGCCTTAGACCACTCGGCCATCCTGACTATCTTTAGAACCTTTCAATACCACGATTTAAATCGTCCATAACACTAAAAATAAACATTTTTCAAAATATTCCCTTTAAATTAATAACATAAATAAAATCACTTACACTCCAACTTATAAACACCCATTTAATAATAAAACACCCCCTAAACTCACTCAACCCACATTATTTATAAAAAAAAATTTATGCAAAAACTTTTGATATTAACTATACCCAATATACACTAATGATCAAAAATTAAAAATTAAATTGGATTCCATTACAACTTTATTTTATACACGCAATTAAAAACTTGTCTAATTACTACTCTCCAAATTCTAATCCAACTAGTGGTATAGAAGCAAACTCGCGCTCCAACAAAGCGGATTAACCGTGGTGAGAACTTTCGATACACTCCACTCTGAGAATACATCTCTGAATTTTCGCGCGCTTTTCCCCCTCGCAACTCAGACCGCGCCCCAAATTGACGTGTTGACGCCGTAATTTATCCTTTTTTTTCTATGTTGAACGTTGCAGTAGCGCGATGTTGATCCGTTGGAAAAACAAAGACAAGGACAAGGAGAAATGTGATAAGGGGAGCACGCAAAAGTCGAGCTCTTCTAACTCTGTAAGCAGTGGAAAGAAAAAAAGAAAATTTGGGAGAGATGGAGGTAAACAGCATTAGTGATCTTGTTTTGGCATGCAGTTTTTTATGTCATTTTTTGCATGGTGTGTAAATAATTGTTTTTATTCATAAAATAGTTTCGTAAATAATTTGCTGAAAGTATTTCGGTATTTTCGCTGTGTTGGAAATAGCCCGCATGTAAATTTTACTTGGTTGTTTTCTTTTGATTTACATCGTACACTGGGCCGTTTGATGTAAAACGACACGATCGATAGCTTTTAAAAGAGAAAACTTTAAAATGTCACTGTGCTTGTTTTCATTAGAATTTCAACGAGATTGTTTTATTTTTAAAACATAAAAAAAATAAAACAAACAAAAATGTAAACAGAAAAATAATGAACGAAAAGATTGAGTTCGTTTTTGGTTACACAGAAAGCGATATCTTTGTTAATGTACATAATCCATTTTTCATTTAGCCAGTAAATTCTCTTTAAAAACCTCAATGGAACCGCGCTGAACGACGCTCAGATCGGGCCGAAATGTTAATCCGAGAGCAGCAATTCCCTTCGGAGACCATAAATATTAATGAACAGAAATGAGGCCCAAGTTTCTTCACCACTTAACCTTTTCGCTCTTTGAAAATTCCGTCCGCTTCCATCTATTCTCCACACTCTTTTTTCCCACATCGAATTTCCCAATGGAATAACATAATACCTAAAGTTAACCTTGTTCACGTCGCTTAGTCTTTTAGT